TAAGTGGAAGTATGTCTACTTTAAAATAAAAATTTAAAAAGTTTTATATATATATATATATATAGGTGGAACTACTGCAAAGATATTTTGACAAGTTTAATAGTTTAGATAAGAAAATATTATATAACGGTAGGAAAAAAATCGATTAAAATTTAGATATTTTTATTTATTTAATTTATATTTTTATTATATCTTAAATACTTTTTTTAAAAAATTTCTATTTATTTGAATTTTTATTACGTCATTTATGCGCATTTTTAAATGGAATTACGAATTATTTTACTGTTTTTTTTAATAAAATGTTGCGTGTTTCTGTTATTGTTTACTTCATTTATTTATTTTTTGTCTTATTAAATAAAATTGCCAGAAAACATGATCAATTTATGTTTTTGTACTTCTTTTATATGAATAAAAATACAAATTTCTGTTTTTTTTTTCTTTTTGGGAAGTTCTTATTGATGAAAACAGCAAAAAATATTTAAAAAATGAGTATCTGTTAGCAGCTCTTTTCCCATTTTCTTTCAAACAAGTGGTAATTTTCATTTGTTTCTTCGACATGGTTTTTTTTCTTTTTTTGCGATTGATTACTTGAATGAAAACCTTTTAAATGGGTTTGTTTTATTTTTATTTCTATTTATTTATTTATTTTTTAAAGACTGTCTGCATTTTGTTTATTTATATTTATTTCTTTTCTTCTTTTCAAATTACTGATCCACTTACACTTATAAAAAATATATAGGCCTATATAATTCATTCAATTAACTAATAGCAAAAATTGCATTAAAATAATTACTTTTAAGAATTTTTTTTACGTGTAAATTTAATTAAATCAATAAATTGTGTTATATCTTTGTTGCTAAGGGAATTTCTTGATATCTTCTTCAAATTATTTATAGGATATATATGTGAGAGATATCAAAGTCTATATAATATAAAGGATAGCATTATGTTTCTGTTAATGGATTTTGCTCTTTTCTACTAGAATTGTCAGTGAAAAATTCGATGAATAAGATTATTAGTAAAATCCATAGAAGCTGAAAATCGAAATTTGGCACACGAACAACTCGACAGATAGAGAATTTCATAGAATTATTTGATGAAACGTCGTATCTTACCAGTTTAACAACAGTATTTCATCGTATTTTATTAATGTACAGTAGTTTTGAGGTGTTATTTTTTTCATAATTACTTGATTTTTTCCCATAAAATGTTAATTTAATATAAAAATTTCTTTGTTACTAAGTTACAGTTAATACGAAGTATTAAAGTATGGATTTTTGTGTTACATTGATTGACCTGTCTGTTTGTCTGTTCGTCATTCTACTGGGAATTTTCTTTATAATTGATCGAAAACTGAAGCTAAAAGTTATTAGAAAATTTAAATTCATAATAAAATGAATTACGACATAGAATTTTGTTATCCGTTTCTACAGAATTATATAAATATTTTATATTAATTTTTATATATTATTTTATACAACCAAATAATAAAATGAAAATAAAAGGCAATTTTTTGGGGGGAGACAAAAATCACAATTATTTACTGTATTCATTATCATTTCATGAATGCAAATAATTTATTTTTCAATTCACGAAAATACAAAAAAGATGCAAAAAAGAAGATAAATAATTCATAAAATTCATTAATTTTTAACAATAATTACACTCATAAATATTATATAAATATGCATAAAACAAACAATAAAATTAAATATAATTAATAATTTTATAACTTAGACGAGTAATAAACGAATGATAATTACCATAAGAAGGTGTCGTAAATTGTAATTAAAGAATTGATCCCCGTTTGCAAAATTTTAGGCAGAAGATTATGACTGGGATACAAAATTACAAGGAATTATCTTGGCTTCGTTTTTTTGGGGTTACATTGTGACGCAGATACCGGGTGGTAAGTAATACTTTTAACATACNGTTTAACAATGCAGAAAGTAAATTAAATATTCTACATAAGAAGGTGTCGTAAATTGTAATTAAAGAATTGATCCCCGTTTGCAAAATTTTAGGCAGAAGATTATGACTGGGATACAAAATTACAAGGAATTATCTTGGCTTCGTTTTTTTGGGGTTACATTGTGACGCAGATACCGGGTGGTAAGTAATACTTTTAACATACTTTAACACTTTAAAATCCTAGTAATAAGCATTAAAAATAATCTTATCGAAAGAAAATTATATTCCTGATTAAATTCACTATAAAGAATAATATTATTAAATCGATATTTTACAAAATAAATATATATATATTTTGACTAATGATTGCCATTGCATTGCTTATCAAACGAACTAGTTACTTGAAAAGTTTATAAATAGCCTAGTTACAGAAAAATCGATTTTTTCATTTTTAAAATTGTAAATCGTTTAAAATCGATAAATAAATTTGTAGATAAAATTTCCACGACAAAATTATTATAAAATTTTGTAATTTTTCATTACGAAAAATAAATAAACTTTTTTTTTCGGTAAATGACAATTTATTAAACTTACAAAAAAATGCAGGAAAAAAATCAATAAAATGCATTAATTTCTTCATTTTTTAAATAAATTGTCAGTTTCAATAATGACTTTTTTTTATAAAAAAAATGTAAATTACAATTGAAATAAACAATAATTTTATTTATATTTTTTTGTATTTTTTTGTAATTGATAATTTACAAAAATTACAAAAATTACATAAAAAATAAATCAGTAAAATTATCATTTCTATTTTTAAAAAAATTCAGAAAATAATTAATATCAATATATTGCAGTGATTTAAAAAAAAAAAAAAAAAAT